CATTAGTTTCTATCTCTACCTCTTGTATTATCATTTTCAAGTCAAAAATGTCCATAGCATATCAATTCTAGATCATGATTTATGTCTATTTGAATAGAATGTATGTTGTGATTTTTCTGGGTTTCTCTCTCTCCATATCTTGAATACCCAATTCTTCTTTCATTTTTAAAAATGCTTTAGGTAAAATATTTCCTCCTTTTCTCCCTTGTTTATGGTTTTTATAGTCCAGAGTTGCGTCTACTATTGCATTAAAGTCTCCCAGTATGCCAAGATTTTGGTAGTTTAAGTCCACTATTTTCTTGTGTAATTGTTGATATAATTGTTCTTGCTTATCGTTAGGTGCATCTATTGCTACCATCAATATCCACCATAATTTCCACCATTAATATTCTCCCCTCTTCGTCTGCATAAATTTGTTTGGGATTCATCTTTTCTTTTATATAAAGGGCTATTCTTTTCTTTTTGGATGCAAGCGTAAAATAAAGTTTGCCCATTTTCAGTTCTAAAATTTTGAAATGTTGTCTCTTAATATGTGTCTCTTGGAAGCAAATTATGTCCATTTTTAATTTTTGTAGTCTAGTAAAAAAATTTCTCCTTTTTGAGGGAGAATTCAGTCCATTTATATTTATTGATAAAATTCCAATCTCCTCCATCTCTTTCAGTTATATCTAGGTCTCAATTTTCTAGTTGATCTTATCTGTCTCTGGTCTCTTGGTCTTGCTCCTTCTGAATATGTATTTTTAACTTCTTCCTCCTCTAGTTGTTTAGCCACTCCTTCACCACCCATTTCCTCTTGCTTCTTGGGTTCAGGATCACCTTTTTCCAAAAACACTCTGTGATTGTCAAAAAATTCCAGTGCTTTAAGCAGTGTATCCAATCTATATCTTTTTGAATCCCAGTAGATTAAGATCCCTTCTGGGATCAACCATCTAAAATTCACTCCTTTTTCAAGCAATTTCCTGGTTAAAAACTGGTAATCTCTTTGAGCCTCTTTTATCTTTCTAGGAATTTGTTTAAGCACTACTACTTCTTTTTCTTTTTAACAGTTGATCTATTACTTTTCTCAAAATCTCATCTCATACAGATCTTTTAAGAAATCTGACGTGAACTTCCATGGGCACTTTATTTCTCCTGGCATAGTTTGAATTAACTCTTTAGATCTGGTCTAGTTCTCCTTCCATTTGGATCTTCCCCATTCCTAGGAAATCTGCGAGTAGCTCAATTATCAGGCTTAAGAGGTTCTCTTCCTTGTCTTCTATTATGTTTTGAAATCTTAGAAAATATGAGGCCCTTTCCATCTCTATCACCGCCAATGTGTCTTCCAATTCCCCATTTATTTGGGCCAAGTTTTCATTCTTATCTTTTAAGGATTCTAAATTCTGGTCAACTTCCACTGATTTGTTTTCTATTTTGTTGATTATCTGTAATCGTCTGTTTAAAATTTTCAATTTGAGAATCTATGTTGATAATTTTTTGGTTCATGTTATCAAGATCATTTTTCAAGTCTTCATACTTTTTTTTATCAAGGATGCCATGTGGGCTACAATTGCCTGCAATATTGCCTGGGTGTCTTTTTGTTGAACATCCATTTTTTCTTGCTGCAGCACTGTCATGATTGATTTTTGATAAACTGGGCTTGCAGAAGTCAAAGCAGAGGCAGAAGATCCCTTTCTCCCAAGTTTAGACAGGTTTGAAACGCTATCTTTGGCTTTATATCTTATATTGTAATTCACCAGGTAGCCAAATGGCCAATTATAATCCAGTAGGGTCCTATTGCTAGGAGGGGAAATCCATGAAAATAGTTAAAAAGAAAAAGGTAAAAAATGGCAACAAGAAAAAAGGAAGGAGATAATAATAAAAAGAGGAGAGGGAAAAATACTCTCAAAATAAAAAGGATAAAAAGGAGAAAGAAAAAAGCAAAAATATCAAAATTATAATCCACCAAATTCTATTCAGAAAGATTTCTTAGTTTCCAATTCTTCTAAGAGAGCTTATTATAGTTCCAAAGCACAATAATTATAATCAAGGAGGCAGATGGCTTCAAGTACCATTTATTTATAAATATAGTCTGTCTTGTGGAGCCAAATAAACCAAAGGAAAGTCTTTTTTTCAACAAGCTTCAAGGTCTTAGATAAAGAATGTCTGGGCATACAGTCAAGCTTCTGATCTGAATAAACTCCAGACAAGAGAAAGTGAAAATAGTTCTCAATGTAACCACCAGGGAACACAAAGTATCAGTTCCCAGCACATTTGATAGATAAAAAAAGAAAGAAAAAAGTAATCAAGAGAGGGAAAAAAGTTTATAGAATTTTAAAAATAGCAGGTAAAATTGCAGTGGGTTTTCAACACAGAACAAAGAAAAAAAAGCGTCTATAAAAAGAACAGTAGCTTCCCAAATTTCTTTTGAGCCTCAGACAGCTTTGCTATGTACGAAGTTTTTTAAATTGCAAAATGGCTTAAACTGCCACTTGTATTCAGGAGGGGGGGAGAAAAAACTCCACCCCTCCCTAGAAGTAAGAGGCTTTGCTCTCAGGCTGTAGAAGAGCTGTTTGCCAGAAATCCACCTCTACTGGGAAAGAAGACAGTATTGTCACCCAACTCAGCTGTTTGCTGTCATTCTGTGCTGCTTCTCTGTCTCCGACGATCAGGTGTTAATGGCGGATTGCATGAATGCAAGCCACCTTTCTTCCGCCGATTCCAGGTACTCCTTTGGCTCCAACAAGCCAGCTACCACTGACCCATGGTCCCCAAAGTTTCACCCCTTGGTGGCCACCTCTCTGGGGTGGCTTTCAGTCTGAACGGACCCACTGGCAGATGAAAATCAGACCTGGGGAAAGGAGAGTCTCTCCCCCAGATCTATCTTCAGCGACATCACCGGAAACACTCCCCGGTTTCTGTGAGTTTCTTTGAGGTGTAGGTGCAAGGTTGCAATTGGCCTTCCTGGTTTTTCTGGAGTAGTACTGCGCCCACTGGTATGTCGCTCGCATCTGCTTGGATGACAAATGTTTTTTCTGGATCTGGGTGTTTTAGCACTGGCTCAGTGGAAAAAAGTCTTTTCAATTTCTAAAATGCTGCTTGGCATTCCATAGTCCATTTTAGCGGCTGTCTAGGTTTCAGTTCCCCTCCCTCCCTTGTTTTTTAGTAAGTTAGTAATGGGGAATGCAATCTGAGCAAAGGAGGGGATGAATTTCCAATAGAAGTTTGCAAAGCCCAGAAAATTTTGCAGCTTTTTCTGGTATGTGGTGGGGCCCACTCCAAAACTGCTTGTACCTTTTCTGGGTCCATTTCTACCCTTTCATGAGAAATCCAGTAGCCCAAATAGTCATTTTTTTTTCTTTGTGGAATTCACATTTCAAAAGATTCGCATACAGTTTGGCTGTGCGAAGCTTATTTAGGACTGCTCTGACTAACTTCACATGCTCGGCTTTCATTTCGGTGTAAATTAATATGTCATTCAGGTACACCAAAAACCCCTTGTACAAATGCTCATGGAGAACCTTTAGCTGCATAAATATTGTGGGTACTCCCTGTAGTCCAAACGGAAGTACTTTGAATTGGAAGCACCCCAGGGGGCAGTTGAAAGCAGTTTTCCACTCATCCCCCTCCTTGATTCTAACCTGGTAATATGTTTCCTGCAGATCTAACTTGGAGAATATCTTCCCCTTTGAGAGGTGGGCTAGCATGTCTTTCATGAGCAGCAAGGGGTAGACATTGTCCATACACACGGTGTTCAAACACCTATAATCCACGCAAAGACAAAGAGACCCATCTTTTTTTCCCAAAATAGCACCGGAGTGGCCATTTTCGGTCTGGCCAGTTGAATGAAATGGCGTGTCAAATTCTTATCTATGATTTAGCGCAGTTCTTCTAACTCTCGGGGTCATCAAATAGAGCTTGGGTTTTGGCAACTGAGCTTTGGGATTAATCTCAATAGCACAGTCTGTGGGACAGTGGAGGGGGGCAATCCCAGGGTATGCCTTCTAATTCCCGATCATTGAGTAATGCCACCACTTCATGCTCAAGCTTCACTTTGGGGCTGTGGTGACTATCGGGTGAGTGGGGTTTCCCTTTTGGAAATCTCAAGTCCCCTGTTCTCCAGTTCACCTGCGGGTTCCATTTTTTTAACCAGGGCAGTCCTAGAGTTAGGAGCCATTCCATACCAGGGATCACTATAAAAGTCAAAGTCTCAGTGTGATCCCCCATAATTCCATGGGCATCATGGTGAGGGTGGCTGGGACACCCCCTGCAATAGACCCGTCTAATTGACCAAACAAAATTGTCTTCTTTAGTCTCCTTACAGGAATCCCCAGATTCCCCACCAGGGTTGGGCTTATTAAACATCTGGTGCAGCCTGAGTCTAGTAATGCCTTGAGGGCCACCTTCTTCTCCATACCTGGGATTAGCAGTTCTATGGGCCTGGTAATTGGTGTGATGGGTCCACTTACCAAGAACTCACTTGTATATTTTTTATGCATGCTATAAGGAGAAGTTGACTGAAGGGAGATAAGGCAGATGGCTGGAGGCACATTCCTTTCACCACCCTCCAAGATACTCCAAAGAGGATAGAACAAAACAAAGGAAGTACATTGCATAAGACCCCTAGGTCCCCCCCAATAGAATAGCAGAACCCAAAAATGAGAGCATAAGAAAGAAATACATTGAGGGTTTGACACATTTACTGGCATCCTAGAAAAAGAGGCTTTACTAAAATTTTTGATATTGTAAGTCATTGATGAGATGTTGATGATCATATTTATGGAGCATGAGGAAAAGAAATAAATACTACTATAAATAAGAAATATCAAATATGCTAATTTAATTGCAGTTTTCCATGCTGAAGCCAATTAACTGTGCTGTTGTTCTTTCAGAATATATTATATGTTCACTTTTCTTCACTGATACAGTTTTTGTTTTTTTCAATATGTTTTAAATTCCTATCTTGATTAAGGAACTAGATATCTTATTTACTTCCTGACATGTTTTCAAATTATTCTTTTCAGTGTTTGGAACCTTGCAAAGAGTTCTGGGATCTGAAGAAAAACCATTGCCAAAATTTTTGTGAGGTATGTTAGGTGTGAAAAAACTTTAGAAGTCACTTGTGTATTTTTTATGCATGCTTTAAGAAGAAGTTGACTGAAGGCCATTTAGTCTGCACAAATTATAAGAGCCTTGTCAGAACCTTTGCTCAAAAGAGCCAGTTGTAAGTTTAGGCAGCAATCCACATTTATATGTACAATTCCTCAGATTTGCTGTTGACTTATAGCAAGTCATGATTCATAGTTTGGGAATCCTAACTTAAAATAGTAAATGAATTCATGTTAACTTTCTGTGACTAAATAATAAATAATTTTAACAATTTTTAACAGCTAGATCCATGAGTTCAACCATTTCTCAAACTTGTTCTGAGTGTTATTACCCATTTAGCCTATAAAAGCCCATGATGGGCTTACCCTCAAAAAGCTGAAACAAGTGTTGACATCTCACAAGCAGAAGAAGTGTTGACAGCATTTTTGCTTCTCCTGTGTATGCTTAATCCATTTTAGAAATATTTCATTCCTCTACCTAGTCTCCTGTAGGGCCCTGGGTGGGTCATGATCTATGCCAGTGGTTCTCAACCTGTGGATTGCGACCCCATTTGGGGTCGAACGACCATTTCATGGGGGTTGCCAAACAACGCAGTCTGCCATTTTTTCCCCTTTTCCTTAGCTGTGCTACTCGCTTTTATTCTACTGGCTTTTGAAAGCCAATAGAATAGACTCTCTTGAATAGAATCTAATTCTATTGGCTTTCAAAAGCCAATAGGAATTGTCCAGGCTGTCTCTGCCCTGCTGAGCCCGCCAAAAGTCCCATTCTGCAAACGGTGCTGCAAATTGTCTGCAGCGAAGGCGAGCTGTCTGGAAGTTTCCACCCCTCCCTGCTGAGCAACTACTAAAAATGTAAGTAAAAGAGGGCCAGGGGTGGAAGGTGGGAGGCCGGCGGGTGCAGGGAGGGTTGCTGGTGCGCGTGGGGCCCGGCGGGTGCCTTACCTTCCTTGGTCTGGGCCAGCTGGTGGCCCAGCCAGTGGTCGCCCTGCGCCGTCGCTGTCCCTTGCCAGCTACGCCTTGGCTGGCGCAGGGGGCAGCACCACGCATGCGCGGCGCTCCCAGGCAGGAAAAGTCCTCAACTTACGACTGGTTGGGTAGTCCTCAACTTATGACTGGTTGGGTAGTCCTCGACTTACGACTGGTTGGGGGTCACAGCATTAAAAAGGTTAAGAACCACTGATCTATGCTTTGAAAACTGCTTCTAATTTTTCAAGACAATTTTGAAGTTTGCTTCCATTTTTATGTGCTTAGTTATTCCATCTACATTTGTAAGATCTATAAATTTATAAATATTCATTTTTCTTTCATTCAAGTTATTAATAATGGCTTGAGTATTAGATGCCCCTCCATGCCTATGTCTAGTTTGATGAGCATCAATGAGAGTTGAGTATCAGTTTTGATCCAGTTATAAATTCCTCTAATTGTCATATTTTCTATATCACACTTCACTATTTTGTAATTATAATAACATGCAGAATAACCAGTGAAGCCTCTGGACTGAAGTTCCTCCTGATTTTAAGTGGTTCCCTTTGTACTAGTATTTGGAAGAGTTCTAAAGACCTGGCTTTTTGCCCAGACCTTTGAGAAGGATGATTTTTTCTCGCTTTCTGTTCTCCTCTGGGTTTGTTTTCTTTACCATCATTCTTCTTCTGACTTGTTCTTTTTTCTATGTTTTTTGTATTGCTTTTGGTTTTTATATGCTTTAAGTATGTAAAATACCAGTATCATTGGGAGCCAGGCAGCATATAAACGTAATAATTTTATTTTAATAAGTAGAATGTTACTGGTTATTTTATTAACACTTTCCTAAAATGAAGATATAGTACAACAATAGCATTGCCACAATCTTTTTGAGGAAATCAAGATCAGCACTGATTAATCCATGTTGAGTTTTACATTTGACATACTGTTCTCAGTTGCTACACACTGATTCTGTTCTGGAACTTTCTTGGTCACTGTATCAAGCTGATTGATCTACTATTCCCTGGATTTTTTCCCCCCATACTTTGTGAAAAGATAATGAAAATATTTGCTCTCATTCAGTTATTTGCCCACATCTCAGTAGTTGCTTAATTATAACAAAGATTTTAGCCAGATGACTATATCAGTCAGAATAGAGCTAGAAGGGATCTTGGAGGTCTTTTAGTCCAACCTCCTTGTTTAAGCAGATATATCATTTCAGAAAAGTGACTGTCCAGTCTCTTCTTAAAAACCTCCACTGATAAAGCACCCACGACTTCTGACAGCAAGTTGTTCCAAGGATTAAATGTCCTCACTGTTAGGGAGTTTCTTCTTAATTCCAGATTGCTTCTCTCCTTGATTAGTTTCCATCCAATTTTTCTTGTCCTGCCCTCTGGTGCTTTGGAAAATAAGTTGACCCCCTCCTCTTTGTGGCAACCTCTCAAATAATGGAATACTGCTATCATGTCCACCCTAGTCCTTCTTTTCTCTGGACTAGCCATACCCAATTCCTGCAACTTTTCTTCATATATCTTTAAGGAAAGAGTCACAGATCTGTATCTATGTGGATTTCAGTTCTGAAAGTTTAAGATATTGGTCTTCTGAGGAAGTCAAAGAAATCTGACAGATTTAAAATATTAGCTGTTATTATTTAAATAACAGCTTTATATTTAAATTTATTATTTAAATGATTTGGAGATTGCCCACTTGCATTCTCAACAGAGGAAGCATGGTTACATCATGAGGAGTAAAGCTGATATTAAACTAAGACAAAACAGTAGGAGGAGAGGTGGAGAGGGAAAGATAAGTCATAGGAAAAGAAACATGACTGGAGAAGGGAAAAAGAGAAGAAAAATTGGAGCAATTAAGAGGAAAACACCAACAAGGGCAGTGGCCTACAGTGAATCTTTCCTGCTGAGAGAGGCCCAGCTGCAGCTGTATGTTGCCTCCCTGGAGCAAAAATTAAAGATGTGGCTAAGAACCTAACCAAAATAATAAAACCCACAGATTACTACCCTTTTCTACTACTACATGTAGGGACAAATGACATGAAAATGGACCTGAAAACAATATTGAATTATTATGAACAGCTAGGCAAGAAGGTCAAGGTGTTAGGTGCAAGACTAGTTTTTTCTTCTATACTGCCAACAAAAGATCAACACCCGGTAAGAGAACAAAGGATTCAAGAAGTGAACCACTGGCTAAAGGGTTGGTGTCATCAAAAAAACTTTGGATTCCTGGACCATGGTCTGCACTACCTCCATGATGGATTCTTTTGCAAGGGACTGGCTTCACCTCACAAAAATCTGGAAGAATGTTTTTGGAAAATACCTGGCTCAACTTATCAGGAGGGCTTTAAACTAAAACTGAGGAGGGGAGGTGACCAATCTTTAGGATCTCCAGGACCTAATTACAAGCAAAAGCCCCTAGAAAACAAATCAAATAATGAGGTAAGGAGGAATGGGAAGGAAGACAAACACAAACACCAAATAGGAGACATAGAAAGCATACCCAGAGTCAGACATAAAGATCTAAAATGACTATATACAAGTGCAAAAAGTTTGGGGAACAAACAGGGTGAACTAGAATTATTAATACATGAAGGTAGATATGATATAATTGGAATTACTGAAACTTTGAGGGATGAAACCCATGAGTGGAACATACTGATAAAGGGATACAAACTGATAAAAAAAATAGACCCCATAAAAGAGGAGGTGGAGCTGCATTATATGTAAAAGACCACTATATTGCTACAGAAATGCACGAGACCAAAGACAAAAACCTCCTAGAATGCATATGGGTCAATATAAAAGAAAAAAAGAATGACATTGCCACAGGCCACAGAACCAAGCAGAAAAAATAGATGTACTTTTTGCTAACCAGTTAACAAATATATGTAGCAAACATGCTACAATAGTAATGGGAGGCTTCAATTACCCTGACATCAACTGGAAAACTAATTCTGAACCAAATGAGAAATTGAATAGATTCTTGACCAACCTAGCTGACAACTTTGTTGTCCAAAAGAATGAGAGGGACAGCCATACTGGACTTAATTCTCCAAAACAGAGAAGTGATAGAGGGAGTTGAAACTGCAGGAACCTTGGGTGAGAGTGACCATGTCATACTGGAATTCAATATAATGCAAATAAAAGAAATAGAACATAATGATACCAGAGATTTTAAAAGAGCTGATTTTAACAAACTTAACAAACTTCTGAGGGAACTTGGGAAAGATTCCTTGGATGAAAATCCTGAAGGGGAAAACAATTCAAGAAGCTTGGGAAACTCTGAAAAATATGATCATAAAAGCCCAGTCCAGCACAATACCATTGAAAAAGAACAACAAGAAATCTAACAAGAAACCAGTGTGACTGTACAAAGCTCTCTCTGATAAACTCAAAGACAAAAAGGACAAATACAAAAAATGGAAAGAAGATACCTAACTAAGGCCAAATATCATCAGATAGCCAGAATCTGCAAAGAAGAAGTCAGGAAAGCAAAGGCTCAGAATGAATAAACACTTGCAACAAAAGTCAAAGATAATAATAAAAAATGATTGTTTCAACACATAAATAACAAGAAAAAAATCAAGGAAACAGTCAGTCCACTAAAGAGAGAAGAGGGCAAGGAAGTAACAAGCAGAAGAGAGAAAACAGAGCTGCTTAACTCATTCTTTGCATCGGTCTTCACGCTAAAAGGAATTATAGCCTAATCTACCAAAACATAACTGAAAAAGGCAGACTAGAAATAAAAGTTAAAATAAACAAAAAAATGGTAAGAGAACATCTGTCTGATCTTGATGAACATAAATCACTGGGACCTGATAGATCACATCCCAGAGTTTTGAAAGAGCTGTCAGATGTCATCTCAGAACTATTGTACCATATCTTTCAAAAATCCTGGAGCACCAGGGGACTACCAGAGGGTTGGAAAAGAGCTGATGTGATTCCCATTTTAAAAAAGGAAGAAAAAACAGATTCAGGAAACTACAGACCATTCAGCCTAACATCAAT